CAAAACTACAATAACAACAACAACAAAGCACCTTTTGCTATTTACATTTTGGGGGTAATATATTATCTTGTTCTGACCTCATCTCACTTTGTTTCTGGTCAGGCTCTGTTTTTGTGCACTGGAACTGACTGGAGTACTAACAGGAATTGGAGGCTGATGCCAGTGTATCAGGCCAGAGAGATTTTAACATGTTTCCATGTGAATGACCTGTAAACACCAGCTGTTCTGTAAAACCGCTGTAACTATGAGTCCAAATCACACTGAGACAAAATGGATTCTTCACAGGCTATTTAATTGTAGGCAGCCTAGCCACACTGGATACGGGGCTTAAGTGGCCCGATTGAGCATTAAAATAAACATTTTAAGTGCTCAGTTGGCTGTAACGCTGAAATATCTGCCAAAAGCCAGTTCCTGGCATATCATGATGATTTTCTGTCAAGTATGTAATGGCAGCAATGGAATACATGAGAGCTATTTGGAAATGAATTTATATTGTTCTGAGTTTTTCATTTTAAAAAAAAAGGATTTCTATAAGATCTAGATATATGTGCGAACGTTGTAAACTTTAAAGACACTGTTTTATTGTGTTTTTATTTACGTCAAGTCCTCTGAAATCTTGTCACTTTTATCTGAAGCAATGTGCAATGTAAAATTAAAATGATTCAGGAGTTTATTTTTGAGTCAAAGAATTATTCATCAGTGCAAAAAACAAATATGATTTTCCACTTCACCTGGGCAACAAATGAGTCACCGTTTCACTTTTTAACTTGAACACTCTAAACTCGAACAAAACACAGAGCACACAGATTCTCTCGCAAAAGTAAAAGCTGTTAAATTTTATACTTTCTAATTGCAGAAGAGCACCATCTGTCTGTGCATTAACATGTTGGAATTTGTGTTTTTACTGTAGAAAGAACGTTTAAGGCTTCAGCACCAGTATCAAACCATTTATTTTTAAATGGTATCAGTAAAAAGTTGTAACGTCATTGAATTAACATGTGATTATTTCAGTGTCAATTTCACTAAACACACATGGGCCTGATTACTGGCAGAGCTGTTGAATCCAGAAATCACATAAATAGAACCTGTCTGACAAAAGTGAAGCAAGCTACAAGATCTCAAGAAGCATGCAATGGCATGCTTCTTGAGAAGCATGCCATTGCATGCTTCTTACATGTTTCTTTAGATTGTAGATTGCTACAATCTAAAGAAACACCTGAGAAATAAAGTCACTGACATCTATCAGCCTGGAACGGGTTACAAAGCAAAATCTAAGACTTTAGGACTCCAATAAACCAAGGTGAGAGCCATTATACACAAATGGAGAACATTTGGAACAGTGGTGATGCTTCCCAGGAGTGACTGGCCTACCAAGTGCAGCGACTCATCCAGGAGGTCAAAAAAGAACCCAGAAGAAGATTAAAGAACCACAGGTTTCACATATCCCAGTTAAAGTCAGAGTTCATCAAAAAAAAGTATGCAAAAATGGCTTCCATTGGAGAGTTTTAAGACAAAAACCACTGCTGAGCAAATAGAACACAAAGGCTTGTCTCACATTTGCCAAAAAACATCTTAATGATCCCCAAGACATCTGGGAAAATGTTCTGTGGACCGATGAGACAACTTTTTAGAAGGTTTGAGTCCTGTAACATCCAGCATAAAACTAACACAGTATTTTAGAAAAGGAACATCATAGCAACAGTAAAATATGGCGGTGGTAGTTTGAAGATCTGGGGTTGTTCTGCTGCGTCAGGGGACCTGGACGTCTTGCTGTGGTAAATGGAACCAACCTGCTGTATACCAAAACATCCTAAAGGTGAATATCCAGCCATCTGTTCGTGACCTCAAGTTGAAGCGTACTTTGGTACTTTGGATCTAAAACACACCAATTTTACCTCTGAATGGCTTAAGAAAATCAAAATGAATGAACCGGCTTTTTAAGATCATGCCACAGCATCTCATTCGAATTCAGGTCAGGCCTTTGGAGTGGCCGAGTCAAAGTCCTGACCTGAATCTGATTGATGTGCTTGATGGCATGATCTTAAAAAGCCGGTTCAACCTTGAAAACTCTCCAATGTGGTTGAATTAAAACAACTCTGCAAAGATGATTGTGCCAAATTTCCTCCACAGTGCTGAAGAAGACCGATTTACAGTTAAAAAAAATGCTTGATTGCAGTTGATTCTACTAAGAGTGGCCCAGTCAGGTTTGGGAGGCAAACACTTTTTCACACAGTGCCATGTTGGTTTTGTTTTTTTCCCCCTTAATAATTAACCACATCATTTAGAAACTGCATTTGCATTAGCTTTGTCTAATATTTAAATTTGTGTGTTTTGGGGGTGGGTTGGGGGGACTGGTCAGGTCTCCAGTCTGGCATTGGGCTAACACAGAGAGACAGACAACAAGCCACAACATATTCACAGAGATACCCACCCAGACATGGAGAGAACATAGAAACTCAACACAGAAAGAAAGATCCCTCTAAGGTGGCGGATTTAAACCCAGAACATTTGTCCTGGGAGGTGGCAGTGCTAAAGCACCATGCCACTATTCTGATCAGAGTAGAACAGTATGCTGTAAAACTCCTTTCAGCTGCTACATTATTCAGTAAGGGTTGCCACAGTAGAAGAATATGCATATTTGATTTGGTAAAGATTTCAGATGCCCCTCTTGACAGGAATCCTTTCTCCCTGAGAGATTTTTGTCTCTTGTCCCAGTCTTGAATCAAGGACTTTTGTGTGTTAGGTGAATGTGTTAACCACTACCATATGGAACCGCAAACTGACAGAGTAAATATTTGAAGCTAAAATTCAATTAATAATTAATAATAATTATGCTGCAAAGAATAAAAATAAGTTTTGGTTCACAAGATAGACCAGATAGATAAGATAGACATGACGTTAACATTGTTGGACTGTACTTGAAGTGGGGTGACAAATACAATGGTATTGAAAGGCAGTAACTCTGTAGTAATACCACCACATTTTATTTTTGTTCAAAAATTTCAATTTCTTTGTTCTTTCATTTGGTGATGCACTTTTTTATCCATTGAGAATGTTTTGTTTGCTTCATTTTAAGTTGGAAATAACAAGGTCTCATGCAAAACCTGATGAAACTCGCTGACACCCTGCTGCTTTGAGCTTATAGTTCTTGCACTATAAAGGAAAAAATAAATAAATAAATGTTTGAGCTGAGAATCTATCCAATTAAACTTTATACTTATATGGGCTCTACACAAATGCATTTATCTGACATTAAATTAAATTTCACGCCTATGAGATTCACATTTATTCAACAGCTCTCTTATATTTTGCAGGATGGTTATTGGTTTGTTTATTTGTTGATGCTGTGTTGAGCTCCAGAGGCGGAAAAAATCTCTTGTCTGATCCACATTTGATCAAAACCTAGACTATGACACAATGCAACCCTGGGTGCGCGCGCACACACATAGACACAGAGTGCATTAGTTAGTGGTGTTGATCTATGTTTAGCTGCTGGAGCTGCCTAGCTGTCCCAAAGTTGTCACCATATTACAAGTTACCCCTGAAATCACTCCTTTTCACATACACACACACATACACACCATCCCGTTCTCAGTAAGTAACAGTGACTCTTTGTAGGAGGTTTGAATAACTGCTATAGGGTTACTTAAATGACACAATCTCTCGCTTTCTCTTGCCCTCCCTTACTTTTGCTCACACACACACACACACACACACACACACACACACACTTTTTCCCTATTCTAATTGCTGCAATGTGACACTTCTTCCCACATCTGAGAAAAAAGGCCAATGAGCTTGCATAGAGAAAGGAAGCACAGCCTGGTGAAGATAGTTAGGGAGCAAGCATTTGACCTACATCTGAATTTCGCATATACAGTACATTTTTATACCTGTCTATAGTGAGCTGACCTTTTATCTTGCTGAGCGAATCTGGATTTTTGTTTTTATTTAAATCATAATAAAATATTTAATTTCTATTTTATAAATACAAAAAGTCAGGCAAAACAGGACAACAACATTCAGTGACTGAAAAATAAAAACCTTTTAGCTTGTTCTGGGTTTTTTTTTGGTTTATTGTGGTTGTCTAGCTTAAAGTTACCACGAAACCTGCTTACTGTAAGCGCTGGTTTGCATATGTATTTTCATATATTTTGAAATTACTATAGCAGCAAATAAGCATTGGCTTTAAGCACATGAGAAAGTCATGCTCCCTTTGTGTGAGTTTTAATCTGAGTTTCCCTCTTTACTGTTTTTGGCAACAGCTGCCGTGTTCGTGCATGTAAGCCTCTCCCCAACACCTGCAATCTACTGCACTGCACTGTAAAAGCAACAAGGGCAAAGTGCAGTCCTGAGCATTCAGTTACCCAATTTATGCGCACTTTATTTTTTAATTTTCACTCGTTAAACTCCACAATGAGAGTTTTGCTGCCCTCCTCTGCTCCGTGTTTCACCATCGAGCAGAGCAGGGGAGAAATGAATGAAATGAAGATAATTTGACCCAAAATAAGGAGAACTTGATACACTACTGCAAGTGCAATAAAAGCTCCCCAAAAAGTGTTAATATGTGTTAACATGTTAACGCCTTCTAAGATATTAATGCAATCAATTAAAGGGAGAGAAGCTGACAGGAAGACTGTGTGATGAGTAGACGTCATTCAGTGCACTTTTTTGTGTGTTATTTGACAGTGTGGTCTAATGGATTTCAGTTTCTCTATGTATTTATTTACTTTTTGCTCATCTGTAGGCACAGGTATGCACAACTTTTGTTAATATGGGGAAATATTGAATGCCATATATTTGTTACAGTGAAAACAAGAAAAAAGCTGAAAAGAACTGAATTTTCAGTCTGACATACAGTAATATTTTATTTATTCTCATATCCCTGTTAAAGGTTACTAATATTGGACTGCTCTGTATTAAGGGTTAAAACAGTGAAAAAATTGTGTAATTGTTAAAACCAAGGTATGATGTGGATTTTTTCTGTGTGCATCTTTCAGGTTTTTCAGATCGCCTATGTGATAATAAAGGCAGCCAACTCACCTCGTCCAGGTATGCGTTCAATTATAAAAATGTTATTTTATCAGTCTCATACTGCTTGAAGTGTTAATATTTTTGCTTTGATTAATTTTAAGGAGAGGACTGTGACTAATGCGCAGGGTTCGTCTTAGGAGCATTAATCATCAAGCTAATGATCATCCCACAGAGAAGCCTTCATATAATGGAAGACTCCATTCAATCAAATGGATCTTTAGCTCAGTGATTAACAATACTGATGTGAAACAACAAACTAGCACGTTAAAGTAAAATGGCGGTGGAAGGTTTAAATATGTTGAAAAGTAATCTAGAAAAAAGACGAAACAGTTGAATTCCTATGGAATTACTATGTTATTGGCAAACAGTGCTATCCATTATGGCCACATTTCCATTTGATCTTGTCAAAGGACATTGTTCCACAAGTGGTGTGGTTTGTTCAGATGCAACTTTGCAAACCTAAGCCATGCTACAATGTTCTTGTAGCATTGTACTTCCAGACAAGTGCTACTTATTCAGTCTTTCTCAAAATCAGGGGTGGGAACTCCAGGCCTCAAGAGCCAGAGTCCTGCAGGTTTAAGATATCACCCTGGGTCAGCTCACCTGAATCAAATGATTAGTTCATTACCAGGCCTCTGAAGAACTTGATGACATGCTGAGGAGGTAATTTAGCCATTTAAATCAGCTGTGTTGGATCAAGGACAAATCTAAAACCTGCAGGACACCCCTGCTCTGTCCTGTCATGATCTTTACCATTAAACATGTTAACTGAGGCCTGTAGAGTCTTTGTCAGATCTTGTTTTTTCTTTATAATTTTTAAGAGGACTGCACGATCTGACCTTGGTGGGAATTTACAGAGTTGTCTGGTCTGTGGCATCGTGTTAACACAGACCCAAATCCATCCAGATCCAGACCACCTGCTTAATCGAAGTGGTCACGCTTGCTGATTATCAGTTAATCAAATATATTTCATTAGCAGCACCTGTCTGTTACTTACCCTAATTAATTCCTATGGAAATAGTAAAGGTGAACCTAATTTTTGACAGTATTGCAGAAAGCAATGTGAAAAACCTGCTTTTTCACATGACTCTATATAATGGAGGGATGTGGTGCTTACATGATAAAATAAGCAATTATAATGGGCAAAAACAAAGCTGATGTTCTAGCTAGTTCACACAGAAACACAATAAACAAAAAAATAATAAAGATTATCGAAATTATGAGTGCATGTTTGTTTGATTTTTCTGTTGTTGTGTTCACAGTTGTTTTTTCGTTCAGCAGGACTCACTTTACTTTGCATTTAATCAATCCAGAATACCACAGTTAAATATGAAACTGAATGTTTTGTCAATTTTCTATGTATATTAAGCAGCATGACCTTAACAGAGACTTGCGTGCCACTCATTATTTTTATTGATCTTCCCTGGTCTCCTCATCACACACTGAAAGCATTTCATTGTTTTCTTTACCATCGTTTTTTGTCCGCAGGCAATTGGATCTTAGAGCGTTCAATAGATGGCGTGACCTTTGAACCCTGGCAGTACTATGCTATCACAGACACAGAGTGCCTGACAAGGTTCAACATAAATCCTCGGACAGGACCTCCATCCTACACCAGAGATGATGAAGTCATCTGCACATCCTTTTACTCAAAGATTCACCCACTGGAGAATGGAGAGGTAACACACAAACTAGGGCTGCTGCAATGTCAGATTTTGACTATACAATTATTCTGGCTGAAAGAATGATCATTTTAACTGTATATCTAAAGGCTTTTGGTTGCGTAAGGGTAAGCTGTCCTTCTAAAGCAAAAGAGAAAACACATTTACAAACATTTCCAATATACCAGCTCATATAATGGGAAGCCTTGACCTGGATATCTGCTCACTCAAAATACAGCTGTTGGGGGTAGGAGGTTGGATTGACTCAAGATTATTTGTCTTTCTTTGGTCCCAGTTGGGGAAGAAGGGTTAAGGTGGGTTAGTTTAAATCTACTTAAACCATGCTGGAATTTCTGGATTTAATGCATTGCTTGTATAGGCAAAGAAGAAAAAATCCAGAGTGGTCAGAGATGAAGAAGGGGGCAGAACCAAAGTTGACTGTACAACTGTGAGACACAAAGGAGGATGTGGCAAAGAGACTGATCTGGTGGACTGGTGACTTGTGTAGGCAGGTGATGGCCAGGTGACAAGAGGGATTTGGGAATTCTTATAAAATACTTTAATCAAAGACATGAAAAAGAAAGTTCTGAGTTATTAAAAAAAAGAAACACCACAAGACACACAAATACACACATGTGCACCCCAGTGTTTACTGTTGTGTTCCTTTGATCTGCTGTGTGTGATCACATCCAGTAACAACAGTCAGGCAGGCCTGACATTAATGAAGAGAAAGAGGATTTCGGAGCACACAAACATACTAACAAATACACAAACACGCATTGAAAATAAACTAATCACACATTAACATCCCCTCACACAGGGCTGTAATTGTAGATGCCCTTCTGATTATCTGCATGCGTTTCCATGTGTCCTAAAGTGCGTGCATGAATATGTGTGCTCGGTGTGTCTTTTTGTGTGTTTGCACTGTATGTGCTTGTGTCCTGCGGGGGAGCGCTAGAGGGGGTGCGAGCTGGGAGATGTCAAGAGCTGCAAGTAACGACGGAGGTGTCTGAATTTTGTGTGTGTGTGTGTGTGTGTGTGTGTGAGCACAAGTGTGTGGTTGACAGCTCCCTTGCCGTCTGATCACAGTGAAACCATAATGAGTCGTAGGCGATGTGTCACAGCATCGCACACACACGTTCACAATGTCACCCCACCACTCATCACAGACACGCCAGCACACACACATAGAGAACCGGCTCCTTCGTTACTTCCAAGTGTGCAGCTTACACCCATCAAGTGTTTCCCCTTGACATACATGCACATACACACAGTCAGCTCACTGAAAGAGTTTTTCTTTTTTTTCTTTTTTTTTACAGATGCCAAATGTTGCTTTTGGCCACATTAGTGAGACAGACAGATGGACAGTCAGACAGGCAGGCAGGCAGGCAGACAGAACCTAACACTTCTTATTATGTGCCTGCTTGGTGATTATTGTTTATGCACAATATAAACTGATGCTTCTACTACTTTCACTCTGATTTAATGTTAGACCAGTGCTGGAAAAATACACGATTCTTTGAATGCCATCAGTAATTGTGCTTGTCCTTCCTTTTTCTATTATTATAATCCAAGTTGTAAGATTCTGTAGAGAGGTATATTATTTGCCTTGTGGGCATCCTGTCATTAGCAATTTTACATCAGGACATTGTTTTTTGTTGAGAATTACTACGTTTCAGAAAAGATTTGTGGTCATCTAACATTTCAGCTCATACATTTAATGCAATTCAATGTTATTCATATATTGCCAAAAAGGTAAAGACCCTGAAATAATAGAGAGAAAACCCCAGAAATCAAACAACCCACTTTGAGCAAGAACTTGGTGACAACGGGAAGGAAAAACTCCCTTTTAACAGTAAGAAACCGCGACTGGTTGGGGTTAATGGGAGGAAGACAGAACAAAGACATGATGCAGAACAGAGCCAGAAATTAATAATAACTAATGATTAAATGCAGAGTGGTGTATAAACACAGTGAAAATGAGGCATACTGAAGAAATACACAGTGCATGATAGGAAGCCCCTAGCAACCTACATCTATACCTATAGATGTAGGCTATTTTCCCCGGCGTGGGACTAATAAAGGTTATCTTATCTTATCTTATCTTATCTTATCTTATCTTATCTTATCTTATACACCCAGCCTAAACTATATACTTTATCACAAAGGAAATTTTTAATCCTAATCTTAAAAATAGAGATAGTGTCTGTCTCCTGAATCCAAACTGGAAGTTCGTTCACAGAAGAGGGGCCTGAAAACTGAAGGCTCTGCCTTCCATTCTACTTTTAAATACTCTAGAAACCACAAGTAAGCCTGTGGTCTTAGGGTAAAGTGCTCTATTGGGGTGATATGGTACTATGAGGTCTTTAAGCTAAGATGGGGGCTGATCATTTAAGACCTTGTATGTGAGGAGAAAGATTTTAAATTTGATTCTGGATTTAACAGGGAGCCAATGAAGAGAAGCCAATATAGTCCCTGTCAGTACAATTGCTGCAGCATTTTGGATCAACTGAAGGCTTTCAAAGAGTTTTTAGGACATCCTGATAATGATCAACTGCAATAGTCCAGCCTAAAAGTAATAAATTCATGAACTAGTTTTTCATATCTATATTTAATCAGCATCTCAAATGGCTACAACTTCTTGCATTTGGACCTGTAGACATAGAAAAAACAACCTGCTGAAGTTGAAACTGAGCAGAATGGGGAAGAAACGTACTCTAAGTGACTTTGAACATGGCTTTATTCCTGGTGCCAGACAGGCTGGTCTCAGTATTTCAGAAACTGTTGATCGACTGAGATTTTTCCACACAACCATCTGTAGGGTTTACAGAGAATGGTCCAAAAAAAAAAGAAAACATAGAGTGAGGTTTATGGGTGAAAATGTCTTGATACCAGAGGTCAGAGCAGAATGGCTAGACTGTTTTTTTAATAGATGGGCAACAGTTAATCGGATATCTACATATTAAAAGCAAGGCATACAGAATAACACAACTGAGCGCACAACACGTCCACGCCTGCCGCCTCTGTCAGCAAAGAACAGGAAACTGAGACTACAGATTACACTGGCTCACCAAAAATGGACAATAGGAGATTGGAAAAATGTTTAAACACCACAACCTACCAGGGCACCATTTATATTGATGTCCATCTCTTTATAACCATAGTGTAGGGCTCTTTTGATGGCTGTTTTCAACAGGATAATGTGCAATGCCATCAAGTTCAAATCATCTCAAACTGGTTTCTTGAGCATTCGCTGAACTTAAATGCCTTCCACAGTCGCCAGATATCAATCCAACAGGGCACCTTTGGGATGTGATGGAACAGGAGATCGTCATCATGGATACACAGCTCACAAATGTGCATCAGCTATGTGATCCTATCTTGTCAGTATGGAATTCATTCTGTGCGGTGAAGGAGCTAAACATCCAAGAAAACGAAACACTGATCAAAACATGTGGCTGAATAGAGACAGATTTTTTTAAATAAATTATGAACAAGTGAAAAACCTTCTGTTATATTACATAAAAAACACGCTGATACACTCAGTAAAAACAAATTTAGGTATAAAGAAGAATAAGAAATTTGAGGCTTCCGACTGAATCAGGTGTGCAAGACAAGATGTCTTAGCCAGCGAGTATTTAAACTCTGTCAAGTTGTGGAAGGCAGGGTGAAACTGTTACTATGTGATAAGTTATAGTAAAGTTGGGGCACTCTTGGAAGTTATAATCCCTTAAATAAGTTGTGCTGTCAGCTGTAAGGAGGCATTTTTCTTATTGAGTCTTCTTTAAGTGCTTTAAGTGTTAGTGCCAGGTAAGCTTAGCCTACTGTGACCAGTCACTGTTCAACAACAAAGACTGTATATAAAAGTTGGTCACAGCCACTGTGACATCACCCATTGCTTTTTCCTCTGCATCATGAGATCTCTTTTTCCTTTTGCCATGCTGGGAGTTTTTTTGTCAGAGGGAAGTATATTTGGAAGATAAAGTGGTGTGCTAAGTTATATACTAAGCTTGATTACAAAACAGGTATCTGATAATTATTACTAACTAGTGCTAAGTAACAGATAATTAATTTTCCCAGAAACGCACCAAGAACACAAACATAGTCAAGAGATTAAGTTGAGTGACTCAAATGCGCTCTGATGTGGCTACATGTGTCCCCATTTTAAACCCTTTCAGAATTCATTTAAATGAGCTAAAAAAAAAAAAGTCAAAACATTTTTTGTCCACATTTTTGTCACTTCTGTGCTGGCTTCACTTTTTAGTTCTGGACTCTCAGTCTGTTGTGGTCAAAGGGTGATAGCAGGCTTTATGTTTGAATCACCGCTGTGCTTTGCTGTAGCCACTCTGTCTCCTGGTCTGAATTTGAAATCAGTTTTTATTATTACCAAATAAAACCATTTTCTACCCTAACATTCTTGTTGAATCCAGTGAAAATCAGCATTCTTAAATTTGATATGTTTCTGTTGTTAAGGAAACATTTAGCAATTTATTCTAGAAGCTGTCGCTGCTCATCAGTGTTGGTCAAGTTACTTGAAAAAGGAATTAAAACTAATTACTGATTACTTATTTTCAAAAGTAATTAGTTACTTAGATAGTTAGTTACTTTTTAAAAACATGATACATTATATGCAACAGTCTTTGACTTGAAGAAATTTGTTTAAGATTTAAACCTATTTTCTGCATATCAGCACATAAAATAAAATAGTGTTTTGTGTTTACGCTCACTCTTTCAAATAGATGCAAGTAAAACACAGCAGAAATTAAATCAAATCAAAGACTCAGTGGCACCGAGTCCTGTCGCTCTTAAATCTATTTTCACCTGTTTAGCTGGAGTGGGGCAGGTGGAGGTTTGCCCAGTGCCGCAGCGGTCATGTCAGTGGGGGGGATCTGGGGGGTTTTCTGTGAATTTCACATTCACGTGGCAGCGTGCTAGGTACTTGCTCAGAAGTTTAGGGGGTTTTCTTCACACGCAGTGTACAGTTGATAGTAATGTTTTTGTCACTTTTTACTCAATCATACTCAAAGTAAGGTCAGTACTTTGACCCTTTAACACAGTAACACAGAGTGCTTACGGGAAAATAACAGTAATCTAATTACGTTTTTGCAATAGTAATCCCTTACTTTAGTCATTACCTGAAAAAAGTAATTGGATTACCTGCCCATCACTATGTCGTTTGAATTTTTACTTCTTCTGTTTACTGCTGTGAGAAACTCACAAAACATTTAATTTTCACAGCATGCAGTCGAATTCTGTTCTCATATGTCGGCGTTTATCTCTACAGATACACACTTCTCTGATCAATGGTAGACCCAGTGCAGATGACCCCTCGCCAACTCTCCTGAACTTCACATCCGCCCGCTACATCAGGTTGGTGTTTCAGAGAATCAGAACGCTCAACGCCGACCTCATGACTCTGACACTCCATGACCCCAAAGATATGGATCCTATTGTGACGAGACGGGTGAGGCTAAAAACACATGCACTACCACTTTAACTTTGTCAGTATGGGTCATTCATCTCTGGATATTTTTAAGTAGAATATCTTTTGAGTCATTGGTTGTTAAAGTTGCAATAACCTGTTTTGGCTCTTCAGTACTACTATACCATTAAGGACATCTCGGTTGGAGGGATGTGCATCTGTTTTGGCCATGCGAAAGCTTGTCCGCTCAACAGTGTTACAAAGGTAATAATGTCCAACTTTCTCTCACTCTGTTTAACAATACCATCAAGGTGATGTAGCTCTTCCATAGTTCTGAACAGGAGTAAAGAGAGCCCTCAGGCATCACCTTTTCATCTAACTCTTTCTATAAAAACTTTCCGTGTGAGTCAGTGCACGCCTTTCTGGAGGGGACACAGGTGACACTGTACAGCGTCGTCTCACGTGTCACTTCAAACAGAGGAGTGTTTGATACCAGACACCTGATCTTCCCCTCTTTTTCTCCCACCACACACACATGCACCACGTTGTGTCCTTTACATGTCCCGAGGCTGAAACAAGAAGTCTAACTCAGATTTGACACCTGTGTCTGGTCCCTCGGTGGTGATGTCAGTGACAATAAGTGATGTCACTGGTGTGTGAAAAGTCCTGGGTTTTTTTTCTTCTTCTTTTCCCCCCGTCTCTAACCAAGACTTGAGGAAGTATTTAAACTAACTAGAGGAGGCTAACCACTTTCTTCTGCCCAGGTGTTTAAAGGCTACAAATTTAGTCAGTTCAAATAGAACAAAAAGACTTTGCAGAGCAGATGTAGTATACGGTACAGCCGAATAATTTCTGTTTATTTATAATTCTGCTTTATTTATCTGCAGTTTTTTAGAGCTTCTCTGTTGCGCTGTGTTCCCACAAGACATTTAGCTTTTTTACTTTGATTAGAGTTCAAACAATCCATGCAGTAGCATACTGGGCAGACATTCAGAAAGGTGGAGACCTGCGAGATGATTTGTTGATGATCGTCCGCAGAACATTTGTTCAGATGCCTGCTCAGCACAAAGGCAGCCTAAGCAAGAGCTGTAGCATTGTGTCTCAGATAAAAAGGGGCAAATTTACTCATGCCAACAAATCCAGACTTGGCTCTCGTTGTGCTATTGTACTGCTCTCCTCTCAGTTAAATCTGGCACCCTCACCATATCAACCAATTTACAGAAAGTCCTAAATTGAATTACTGAACCTTAGTTGGCAAATATCCTGCTACATTCTGCTTTGTCTGTGTTTAGTTTTGAATTTATTTCTCTCCTGGGAGACTAATCGTGAACCTATTTACTGCTAACTGAAAATTTGGAAACTGAACCAAGTTCTTTCAGTTGAGTTGGCTCTCATGTGTACACATTGTTGTTTAAAGGGCATTCAAAAGGTGATGCATTTTGATAATTACCTATTTGCACTCTATTCTCACATTCATGTGAATGTTGAGGTGCCACATGAGGGTGCACAAAGGACAGAATTTTCTGTGTATATTAAATATAAATTCATAAATATTGTACAGAGGGTTATACATGTACACTTTCTACACTTTTAGATTCAAATCAATACAAACTTGATCTCAGCATTTTATTTTGCTTCAGTTCAGGTGTTGTTCATACATTCAAACGTTCTTACTGCGGATGTAGCTATGTATGTAAAGGACCACAAAGTCACAGCAAAAACATAAAGACTGCATTTGAACTAGGTTATTACTTTATTTCAAAAATTGATAGTTACAGTGCTTATTATCTCAGAACAGTTTAAAAGAGATTTGTTCTGGAAGCTATGTGGTTGAGAATGCAGTAAAATGTCTTATAACAGTGTCTGTAAAACAATCTTTGATGTGATTCTTATACAAACTGCCACATGCATGATAATGGAATTCAAGGATTTTCCTGGCGACGAACTTTTTAGTCGACCAAACCAGGAAAAAATATTATACCCTTTCATTTATCTAAGAAACACTAAGATATCAAGTTAAATTTCCATCTAATGGAAAATGTCAAAAACTAATAACAAATGCATTTTAATAACCAAATAAACAACAACAAATATAATAACCAATATAAATAACCGATGCTAAATATGACGTGAAAACATGTAACTACAAAACATGTTCAAATATTACAAGTTAACATCTGACAAACGTATAAATTGTGACAGAAAAGTGTGGCGCATTGTGCCGTGCGTTATGAATGACGCACACTGTTCAACCACTGCAATAAAAGTTCAAATCTAAAATAACAAAACAACCATCCAGCCATTTTCTTCCACTCATCTGAAGTGATGATTCAGTGATTTACTGGCATTTGGCATCAAGTAAAATTTTAACAATTGGATTAAACGACTACTAAGTCTAGTACCGACTGGCAACAGCGATGATTAGTTGACTAGTTGCACACATCCGTAGTGGTAATAGTCCACATTCGACTGAACAGTTCCTTTGCAGTAACATGACCAGCACCATTTCCCTGCACAAGCCTTGCAGTTCCTGCAAATGATATCTTATCATATCATCCGTATCCCCCAAAGAAGTCCCAATGCTGGGTTTGGTCACACTAAAACAGTGAAACATTAAAACACCTCATACTACACTCAAGCAATAATTTCTATTTAGACGATTTATTGTCTAAAAAACGTAAACATATGGTTTTTATTTTCACCATTTAACTCTCCACTTAATTCCAGCTCTGAAACCTCGTCAATCTCCTCCAGGATTAAAGGCCTCGCTTCTGCAGTGGAATTGTTAAGAATATAGTGGCAAGAAACAAAATTTGATAAGAAATCCAAAGGAAAAAATAAATAAAATTGATTTCCCTTCAGGATACAAAAATGGTGTAGGGGAAAATAAAAGTTAAAATCAACCTTATTGGGTGGTAAAGTCATTAAAATAATAATATCAAACAACGGGAGCTTCTCTAACAGGCTGTCACTCGGCACAGCGACAGGACACAAAAAAACAAATAATAGTTATTAGTTTAATTAACTGAAGGTCACTCTTTCCCAACACTGTGTGTGGGAGTAGTCTTAAGCTAAGGGCTGACATTTCATTTTTTCACTTAAGAGGTTTTGAATCACCTGCGGTGAAGAATTGGCAGTGAAAAATCATATTTGTTCACGATTCAGATTTAAAAACCTGCTTCTAGTTTGCACAGTCAATTTAAAGAGAGCTCACATCTGTGAAATTTAAAGTGCACTGTTAATGTGTGTTTTCCATGTGTTTGTGTGTGGACATTTGTGTTTCTGCGCATATGTAGAAGTTTAGCTGTGAATGTGAACACAACACTTGTGGGGAGAGCTGTGATCGCTGTTGCCCAGGTTACCACCAGCAGCCTTGGATGGCAGGAACCTTCCTCACTCGACATGTCTGCGAGAGTAAGAAAAACACAGAACAAATTATATTTGTAAATTACACACAGCTACCCACAAGCTTACAGCAGTTCACCCACAACACATTTGCTACTTATGAAAAATAAACAGTAACTTCTCAGATTTTCACGAGTTAAAAAGCCCTCTATCAGAGTTCTTATGGCACTATATAATAGGAAACAGAATACTACATCTTTTCCTAAGAGATTGTAACTAGATATTTCAACTATTTTACCCATTATGTTATTTAACAATTTCTCCATCTACATTTTTAGCTAAATACACTTTACTTACAGATTTGGCAAACTATTACAACCATTTATACATTAAGTTTAGCAATTTGATTTACTAATGGCAGTTTAATGTTATGTCTATTGGCTAACAATTTATTTATTTATTTATTTTATTTTGCTATTCATTTTTCAACATTGCATATTTATTTTAAATATTAATATATATCTATTTTAAAGACTAATATTATTTTTAATTTTACTTTTCTGGTCAAAGTCATTTATTTTGCTTCTTTTTCAGATTAGTTGAGCTAATTTTTTCACATAAAGCCTGGCTACTGCAAAAAAAGTAGGCTAACCCTAGAGTACTCACTCACTGAGGTCAGTACTCTCCACACAATTAAACTGTGAAGCAGTGCCCTGAAATTCACATTCTTTCCAGCTGATCAGAATCAGTCTGTGATATAAGATTGTATAAAGCCATCCGAAATCACACTGGCATCCATTAACCTTCATCAGTTATGCAGCAGTGGAGGGATGAGGTTAGAGGCTTCCACCTGTCATCATAAAACTAAGGTTACAACATGTAATCTTTATTTTATTTCACACAGGCTACACCCTCTGAAAGCTCTGTAGTCTTAGTGGCTCAATGACTGCTTCTGTTGCCTTGACATTGACATAACTAAAGTGACAAAAAGCTCCTGGATAGCACAATTGTAAAAGAACTGACCATGACAGATTTAATACCAGTACTGAACAAAATGTTGTAATGGTAGGGGTAGAAAACGTTTATCTAAGATGAGGTATTTAGAGAGAACTCGGCACTCTAGGATAGCACAGAATGATGCCCTGTAGTGTTGTGCAGCTTTACAGGTCAGCAGTGACCAGCGGGACAAGATATCCACTGTTCTTAATCCCATAAACACAGCTGTGAACACTATACTGGATTAACAGTGGGTGGAAGGTCCAGTCATGCAAACATATAAGACAGATGTAATTATAACTTTCTGGAGAAGAAAAATCTTTCATAATCATACCATGGAACATATAAAGCACTGTGTAGTGTTTAAGCATGTGATAGATCATCTAACCTGCTCTGCTTCTCAAGCCAACCAATATGCATTGTAATTAATATGTCGTAGGGACCTGAAATAAGGCATGCCGAGCAGTGAAGGTCAGTACTGTTCTCTTAACACCTGGCCATTTATGCAGCTGATGCCTTTAATCCCTGGATTTAATACACTTTAAGTAATGTCCATCAGGCCATTTCCCTGTGGTTGTTTTAACCTAAAATCTAAAAGTGTGCAACATTAAATGTACTGAGTTTGCAGGGGTGAGAGTCCATAGCCATAGTGTAGGTTAAAAAGTCCATTAGTCGTGTAGGTTTGCTTGTCATACTGGGAAAACATATGATCAATATTGCATCAATCACAACATTATCTTTGCAAAACATGTTCTGGTCTGAATTAAGAAAATGTATGAAACAAATGAACTCAGCTACAAAATTGGAATCTAAACTCAAGAAGATCTTTGTGGCCTGGAGTTCGGGCCGTAGGAGACTTCTACAAACTTTAAGTCCAAGTTTCTTCTCAAAATTCCAAAGGACAATGCTTTTTATCTAGCTCATGAATTTTAGACCACTTTAGTAAATATAGCAAACTAAAGTGAAAATGGAAAGGGCATGAGTGAATAGTAAGGCTATTTTTTTCCTCTGGAGATAATTCTCTGGAGCTCTAGAGATAACACACAGCTCACAGTCAGTGTGTGAACCTTACGGCACTGTCTAAAAACCAGGATAGGGTGGTTTTTTTCTCATCTTGTGAGCAGATGAAGTAAAAGGATTAGAGAAAATGTCCCCCTGGCTGCATATAATACTGTACAGAATTTTGATAGAAGAGGCAGGACTCGACAAATCCTATCAACTGCAGTACTACAGCCCATCAACTTTTTCTGTGTGTTTTCAGAGTGTAACTGCCACGGTAAGGCAGAAGAATGCTACTTTAATCAAACAGTGGCAGATCTGTCGCTCAGCCAGGACATTCACGGTCAGTACAAAGGGGGCGGAGTCTGCATAGGCTGCCGTGACGACACGGCTGGCATTAACTGTCAGAGCTGCGTTCCTGGATTCTACAGACCTGCTGACGTACGTAACCTGCTTATGCGTGTGTCCTTACGTTACCTAAATTGCTGCTATTTGAACATGTCTGCGTTCTCTACCTGTCCAGGTGAGCGCTGAGGAGGAGAGCCCCTGCATCCCCTGCTCCTGCGACCCATACGGTTCCATCAGCCAAACGTGTGTCGCAGATTCGAGCCAAGCTACGCCCCGTATGCACTCAGTTCGACTTGTACTTTCTGTCTGGTCACGTGACTTTCCACCTTGTTCTTTCTGAGGATCATTTAAGCCCTAACATAGGGATAATTTTGGCCCCTCAGTGGATATGCATGCAGACTTTTAGAGCCTGCACCCATTCCACATTTTAATTCATTTTAAAGTGGTACTTCAGTAACTCTGAGATTTCATCAATTCGGTCCACATTGATTTCCTATGGGATCGGGGTGAGTCGAGTTCAGCAGCATGCACAGAAGCTTCTGTTACTTGAAAATGTCTTTGACAGAACAGAACTATTTATATTAGAGATAATTTTACTCCTCTGTCCTCCTCTGTGTTTTCGCTGTTTTTATATCTAGCAAGTAGAGTTATTTTAGGTGCAGCTACTTCAAAGAGATACCCTTTCTCTTACACTTATACTTTTTTTTATGTGTGCATGTGTCTCTTTGTGTGTGTATGTGTGTGTTTGACTGACAGGCCAGCCAGCAGGGTCATGCTGGTGTAAGGAGGGTTTTTGGGGTCTGAGATGTGACAGGTGAGAGACACACATACACACGCATGCACACAAATAGGGAAAGAGATAGACACATAGTGACAGGTGAGCAGAACCTTTCAGCTGTTGTCTGTTCCAATTAGTGTTTAGAAATTGCCACCAAGTTTCCATTAGGATCTTTGATGATATTGATTATCACACTTGGGTTGTATAGAAGCGACTGCATGCATAGCTGTGGTGCAAATGCAAGGCACTGTCTTATTTGCAGCTAAAATGTTACTTCCTTAATAATACCTTTCACAAACTTTAATGGAGAGAACCACAGCCTGAGGTCTTCATGAAAAGTCTTAGCATTACTAAATTCCTACAAGAATTAAACAAGAAGCAGTTTCAATATCAACCCGTAGATCTGTCAACAGGGTCCTTCATGTTACTCTCCTGATTAGTTAGTTTGCGAGTAATTGCGTTTACTGGTGTAATTGCTTTTTTTTTTTGTATTATCTTTGATCCCACGGTAACCCAGTATTCCACTCTAGTCTAATGTAAAAGCCTTATCTTCAAAATACTGCTTTTCCTTTAAACTTTTTAATGACCTACCCGCAGGGCCGCAGCATAAGCATTGTCTCTAAAATGACTTCCTAAATGCTATTTAATAGACTTGCTTTGGCTTACTTTCTCTGTTAATTAGTAGAAGTTTTTTGTTTTGGTTTTTCTGCTTAAGCATGCACACATATTACCAGCGTTAGCGGTTTGCAGCAGTGAGTAGGGGATTGGTGGGTCACGCGTAAACAGTTTGATCAGGATAAACGCAGTGGTTGTTAATCTGATCAATTTACGGTTTTGACTTGATCTTTATTATTGCTGTAAAACTGTAGGTGTGCTATTGGTTATACGGGCTACCCATACTGCGAGCGCTGTAACTGCAGCGTTGAAGGAAGCGTCAACGCTGACCCATGTATAACACCCTGCATATGCAAGGTACACACAAACACACACACACGCACATTCGCATTTGTATGCACAGAAATAATGACAAGTACTCTCTGCTAACCTTTTTAGCCCTGTCATCATTATTTTCACCACATTAACATTGCCGGAACATGCTTTGCGCTCGTAGCGTCAACCTGAGGGCAGCCTATAAACTATGCTGCATCCTTCTTCTTCTTCTTTTTCTCCTCTCTCTTCTCTGCCTGCCCTTTTCTGTCTCTCCCCCTGTCTCTGTCTTTCTCACATGCAGGAAAATGTGGAGGGGGAAAATTGTGACCGCTGTAAGCTCGGATTCTACAATCTTCAAGAGTCCAACCGACGCGGCTGCGAAAAATGCTCCTGCATGGGCGTTTCCAGTCAGTGCACAGCCTCCACGTGGACCTATCAGAATGTAGGAACTCAATATTCACTGATGTTGTGGGATGATGTAAACGTCACTTCAGTTTAAGATCTTTTCTGCAAGAGTGGCTTAGAGCTGAAAAACTGCTTTTTCCTCCTTTTATTCAAATATCATTTACCGCTGTAAACTTAAATTGCGTCATAACTGTGCACCACAGAAGAATGAACATCAGCTGAGGAACAAATTTGTGACGCAAGTTGTTCTGATTAATTTTATAGTATGTGTTCCCTTCCATGACAAGTTTCAGAGTGGAGTAAATTTTCAGTTTGTGTTCATCTTTTGCATCTAATCCAACTTTGGTGACTTTTGACATGCAGAATTTTAAACAGCACTGATGTTCAGTGAATCAGAGAGTCCAAAACAGAAGCATGTGTCATGAGGTTTTACTGACGTTGGCCTGTATCCCCTTTTTCTAACAGCGTGCTTTACTTGAGAACAAATTGCTCAGCAAAAGAGACGTATATCTGATTTTTAAACACGAGGGAAATACTGCAAGGGCATATGCTGGAAATAACATAGGTAAAGGTACAAAGGTATAAAAAATAAAAGCGAAGAACAAACCAGTTGAAAGCAGCTGACTCAAAGTAGACATGCGAACTCACAATAAATATATGCAAAAAAGCCTCATCGGCCAAGCTGTGATAACAAATTTTGCGAAAAGAATTAAACTGAAGTGTAACTCAGCTGGGATAGGCTCCAGCACCCCGACAACCCTGAATTGGATAAGCAGAAGAAGATAGATGGATGGGTAGTTTTAGTTTTTCCATTTAGTTTCAGTCACCTAAAATAACCTTGTCATAATGTTCAATTAGGTTCAAAGCTAACAAGCTTGGGCACTGACACTGAGTTTGACACAAGTTTTTGTGATTGAGTTAGTAATTAGTTTGCCAACTACTGTTTACCCCTTTGTTTAATCAAATAAACTGGTTTGACCAGGCCTTCAGTATATTTTAAAGTGAAATTTTTCAGATTGTGAGTTTCTAATGTAGGTCCATAATACACATTTTCCTAACAAACAAAACAATCACTTAAGCTATCGCTCAAAACACTTTTTTTTAGATGACACGAAAACTACTCATCCACACTGCTGCATCAGTTTAATAAATATCTTTCAGGGCCTGAACATATCTGACACCAGGTGTAAAGTAATTTGGATCTGGCAAACATTAAAAACATCTGGAAATTAATCAGTAGGATGTTAAGCAGAAAAACAAAACTGCATAGAGAGTCTGGAGGGAACAGAGAGGTGAGAGACATGAAGAGAAAGAAAAATATGGAGGAAGGAAGAGGACAGGACTAGAAAGGAGAAGGGAGAAACAAGACAAGAGGCAAGAGGGAGGAGAGAGGTGAAGCAAGAGGAAAACAGTTTTTGACTGACAGGCAGGGTGGGAGAGGAGGAGAGAGGAGACGCTGACAGGATGACAGCTCTGATTTAGACACCGATCGTGTGTGTGTGTTGGTGTGTGTGTGTGTGTGTGTGTGTTTTCAAAAGGGGAAGCCAAGGTTAGGTTAATTACAATGACAGATGTGTGTCTAGCAATCTCTGATTCACAAACACACACATGTGCGCACACACATCAACACACACAAAATCCTTCAGGATTTAAGAAAAAAAATCTCTTTCAAGGCGTCGATTGCAAACTTCCAGCTGACATGTGGCAGATTTACAAAACTGTTACCAAAAGCTTAACTTTGACATTTTTGTTAAAAAAAATATTTTATCTCAATCAACTAATTACATCTACAATAAATTACATTAAAAAAAAAAATCACATGATAGACATTTTCTATAGTTTTTTTTAAATTAACCTGAAGTAATATGTTGACTTTAACTTGAATTTTGCTTTTAATTTTTAATTACCTCTTATAATAAAGTATCATTAGAGGTAATCATTTTCCTGCTCATGAGTTTATCTATATAAACCACCTTTATTTTGCTTGAAGGATTTTTGTAAAAAGGTTTTGGGGTTTTGGAGGCAGTGGTATGGACAGTTGACTTTAATAAGACAAGTTGACAGATGAAGTCAGGCAGGAGTCACCATGAGCTATGATGTTCATAGATGACACTGTGATGTACTGAGAGTATGGACAAGAGGAGTGTAAAGGAGTAGTAGTGGAGTGGAGGTGTGTGCTGGAGAGAAGAGGATTGGAAGTCAGTAGAAGCAAAGGAGAATACATGTGTGTGAATGAGAGGCAGGCAGGTGTAACAGTGAAGATGGACGAGTTGAGATACCTGGGGTGAAGCATCCAAAGCAACATACAGTGTACAATAAAGGTGAAAAAGAGAGTGTGTTACGGCCGAGAGGGCCAGGCTGTGGGTGTGGACTCAAATGCAGACACCGAGGGAGGCAAAACGGGCGTGAACACGGTGCTTTATTTACAGTGCCTAGTTAACTTACAAAGCAGGAAACTATGAATGCCATGAACGAAGAACGCTATGAACTGTGGAAGCTATGAACTGAGAACTATGAGGCCAAACTATGAACATGAAACTCTGAGTGCTATGACTAGGTGCTAGATTTCATGGATGGATCCTGGGAATGGAAAAAGGGGCAGCGGCTTGGATGGAGGTACGCAGTCAGTGTTGCAGGTTAAAGTGTCATGCGAGGAGGGGGTGTCCAAGGGGTTCCGGGTGAGGAGTTGTCCAGAGAGGATCCAGAATATACTTTGAGTGAGGGACTTGGCAGGGAGGCAGGCAGGTGTAGTCCAATGATGGAAAGGAAGCAACCAGATGACAGAACCAGCGTCCAGGCGGAGATGTGAGTAGTTTAGCTTGGGAAGTGCGACTGCCAGGTGGGTCCTATGACAAAGAAAACACGGTGAGGAGAAAAGCAGTAGTTAAGGGCTCTCACAAGGGCTTGGCGGCCTAGCACTAACGTGAGTTAGCAGAAGATCTGGCAGAGGTCTGTTGTGAATGCTGGTCTTATATGCTGGTGACTTGATTGGAACCAGGTGTGGAAGCTGATTGGAGTCTCTGCCTGAAGGTGGAGCCCAGCGGAGTGGAAAAACCCCGTACTCACCCGGACCATGACAGAGTGCAGGTAGGGTGGAGTGGGTGAATGTAAATGAGGGTTTACAAGGTGGTGGTGAGACCTGCTGTGATTTGTGGTTTGAAGACAGTGGCAATAACAGAAAAGGCAGCAGGTGGAGCTGGAGGAGGCAGAGTTGAAGATGCTCAGAGTTTGGTTGGGAATGACCACAATACAGAAGATAAGGGTATAACGGAGGCAGACCAAGCTCTGATGATGTGGACATGTGCAGAAGAGGGATAGTGGGTATACTGGACAAAGGATGTTGAATATGGAGCTGCCAGGCAGGAGGAAAACAGGAGAAGGTCCATGAATGCAGTGAAGAAGGACATGAGAGGGTTGCTGAGACAGAGGATTCTAGGGCAGGAACGAGAAGTCAATAAAACAAAGTTGACGTTTGGCAGTAGACTACCTGGACACAATAGGTACACAAAAAAAATACATTGCAACTTTGGTAATAGAAAAGAAGGAGCTCAGGTGGTGGATGAACAAATCTATTAAAAGAGTCAGAGTGTTGACAGTTGTGTGAAGTAGCAAATCCGAACCACCAGCTGGGCATTATGAGTAAAACCTGTCCGTCTACACTGAACATGCCTTGCTTTAATATGTTTGCTGTCAATGTTACTGATGTGCTGACAGTAAGCAGCTCTGTCGTGTGGACAGAAATAATACTGTATGTTGCTTTTCTGTTTCAGACTCTCCCTTTACATATTTATATAAATTCTTTTCCTGATGACTATATATAAACATCTTACATCTCTACATGACTCACGCAGTTTAAGTGAGCAACAGCAAACCTGCTGAAAACAGAAAACCCCAACAAAAACTTGAAGTTGAAAGCCGACGTCTTGTTATGATGTGTACTTCCGCGATTGCAGAAGAGAGCGGAAAGGTGCAATCCTGCCACAGTCTCTTCACACAGATCGTGCCTCACAATTTGGGTGTTGAATTTTTTAACAACCCCTACACAGAAATATTCTTTGTGTACTTTGAAATGTGACATGGGGAACTGCAGTCTAGCCATGCCAGCATGATCAGAGTAAAAAATTTGTTTTTGAAATAGATGGAACTGAAAGTAAAATATTTTTTTCTAACCTGGATGTTGTGTTCATAGGAGACCACTCTGACAGGCTGGCACCTGGTTGGCAACACGGGAGGGAGGGTGTGGTCCGTTCACAGAGAGACCCCCCCATATCTCAGCGTGCGACACTTAGATGTTGTGGACGATCTTGGCACCGCCTACTATTGGAATGCACCTGGACTATACTTAGGAAACAAGGTCAGCTGCAAGCACACACTCTGAGACTTTTACAAATAGCTTAAATGACACCTATTACGATTTTCCTTGTTTTCTTTATATTAAACATGGCCAGTGTTTCCAAAAATGAGGTCAGTGTATGTGCAAGGAACCCGTGCGAGACAATAGGCCATTTTTTCTGCTTTTGCCTGTCTATTATGCTCCTGGTAATCCCTAATAATCTCAGGCACACTGCTCCTGCATTGAGAACATAAGCTCCACAACCTCCTGTTTGAGTCTTTTGTTTGCAGCGTGCGGCTAATCAAAAGAAAGTTGGCTTAAAGGAGAGAAGGAAAGGAGTTGAGACGACTTGTTTCAGAAACATGAAGAACTGAGGGGCTGCGCTAAGGCCCAGTTTAAGATAAATAATGCAAAGCTACTGTAGACGACCCCAAAAATAACATGGAATTGTCAGTGAATATATTTGGTGTCCTTTGAATAACCAGCAGTCAACACTGATTGCTGATTTTTTTTTGTGCCTATTTTACTTGAGATAACTGAGAAACTACATTAGCACCAACATTAAAGTAGACACATCCAAATGCTCTCAAGGTCACAGTAGTAGCTCAGTTGTGCGTTGTTTTGATCCGATCTTTAATCTTACACTTCAGCAGCAATAAGCTTTAAGCTAATGTTTCGGGTTACTTCAGCGGACTATTTGCTTCACGACATGGGAATTTCTAACTATATTACTGTGTAGCGATAGCACTGGTGGGCAAATATTTAAGTTCTAACGTGATGCATCATTAGGATAGGCTTCACTATATAAACAGATCCAATTTATGATCTCAAAATGTATCCCCTGGGTGGAAGTCTGGTGAGAATGTGTCCTGCTGGGATGTTCACCTCCCTCGTAGCCCTGCTTCTCTGGATCAGCTTCTGCTAATGCCGACTGTTTGAAATTGCGCCGTGGCTTTCTGTATCCACGATTAGACTTTATCACTCCAGCTGGCAAATAGCTGCAGTCCATGTTTCAGAAGTCGAGTTTTTGCTCTACTACAACAACAGACCGACTGTGATGTTTGTCTGTGTGTCATGGCTTAGAGGAATATACCACTGAATTTCATTACTTTGCACCCGGCAGGCCTGGCTTGTCATCTCACTTCTTTGTCTGAACCTCTATCCCTCCCTCTAACCATCCCTCCATCCCTGCTTCTTTTCATTGGTGTGCTCCTCTAACTCTCTCTCCGTCTCTCCAGGACTCGCATTTTTCACCTCCCTGTTCCTAAATCATCTCCTTCTACTTCCCCCAAGCTCTTTTCTCTCTCACTTCTCTCTCTCTCTATCTCTTTCGCTTGCTTTGTGTCTCTTGGGGTAAACAGTGTTTCGCCTGTTGAACTCAATAATCAATGTGGTTTTTTTTCCCTCATCGCGCACACATGCATACACCAAACACACACATACGCACACGCATTAACACTCAGACAGACTCCCAGGTCTATATAAGTCAGATAATGATGTGTTTTGGAGGCATTAGGGACAGCAGAGCAGAACCAAATGCCTCCAAACATGGGAAACAAACAAATTACCACTGTGTGTATGTGTGTGTGTGTGTGTGTGTGTGTGTGTGCATGCATGTGTGTGTGTGATCACTAGAAGCAGTACGCAATACTGTATGAAAAAGTGATTCTTTGCTTCAGTCTCTGATTGTGTTACAGAGATAGATGCTATGTGACTTGACTATGTTACGCATTCACTTACACACGCACATACACACACACACACAAACACGCTGTGATCTGTCATGTTAGCGTGTATCATTGGAAGTGACAGGCCATGTTTGTAATAACAAGCTAGCAGCAGATATATAAGAGCACAAATGTGTGTGTGATGATGTGCTCCATCTCCATCTCTGTATCGTTAATGCCATGCATGCGCATTGGCCCGATCGCCCGCTTCGCGGATGCTCATTGGTCCAGAAGGGCATTCCACTGATGCTCATTGGGTAGTTTATGTGCCATGTAGGTCCAGCGACTGCTCATTCACAGGAACAGCCGTTACTATGATTTAAAAGTGCCAAGTTTAAAAAATAGCCGTCTCTGCTTTATTTGCCAGCAGAGGGCAAATGAGTGGGGTTCAGCGTAAGGATCACAATAAAACTTTTTGATGTGGAGTGTAATCTCAATCTAAGAAAATGTTCCACAAGTTTTTTAGTTGTTGGTCGTTCTTCAAAAACCTGCAGTTGATTCAAGCACCTGGACTTTCTTAATCTCTCAAATCTCCATTTTTTTTTTGGAGCACTTAAAGTATTCCTTGCACTAAAATGTCATTTTGTTTTAGGAAGCACTCCTCTGTCACAAAAGTGCAGATCTTTGGCTTTTTAATCAGAAACCAAATACTTTATGATAATAGCAGCACAGAGTCTTTGCTAATTTACTAACAGATTCACAGATTCAACAAAATTTGGGAATAAAAGAATGATGAAGATGGCCAAACAGAGAGCAAAGCCATAGAGTTTTCTTTTCTTCTCCCTTTAGGAACTCTATCTAGCTATTAGTCACCTTGCTTTTGTCTTCCTTGTGCATTTGACAATGCAAAGAAGACAAAATGATAATTCTTTTAGAAGCAAACTAGCTACACTCCTGAGGGAGGAGCGGAGTAGCTGATTCTTTAGAAAAATGTTATAGAAGTTGACACCTCACAGTTGTAATGAATGAAATTTGTCTTTGTGGAAAATATTCTTTTTCTCAGTAAGAAAAACATCAACCTTTTGCAAGCTGATGAGCTGTGACTTATGAGAGTGACAAATGTGTGTAGGGTTTGTGTATAATGTCACTACTAATCTGGTCTTAATTGCATGACATGGATTTGCCCTCCCCTTTCCTCTTTTCTTCTCTCCCTCCCCTTTCTTTTTCTGACTTGTACGGCTGAAAATGCACCGTTACGTCAGTTCGCGGTTGATTTCTTCCAGTTTTTTTTCATTCTAAATAGCAATCTCATGGTCCAGAGAAAAAGAAAGGAAAATAATTACACCTGGTTATCAGTACAGCAACACAAAATTGCATTCCTGAAAGTCAAACAAGACGTATATAGATACACAACCGTATTCAGTTTGCAGCAGGTCTTGAAGTTAAGATAACTGCTCCTCTATACATTGTTGCCCTTTGTTAACAAGTTGCTATTTTGGCTCGTATCTCCACTGCTTATCCCCTGTCCTACTTTGCTCTTTCAGGAGATATTAGAAGAGAGCAGGTAACACATGCAACACATAATTTGGACGAAACTGGACTCATCAACACTCTATTTAATTGCAAAGTGAAGAGGAGTTTGGTTTTGTGCCTTTTCTGAATTATGAAATAATTTAATTTCCTGGCAAATTTAGCGTAGGCCGATAGAGGCTGATAGACTTGTGTTTACATGTTCTTATAATTAAATGTGGAGTGCTAGTAGGATGTTCATACTTACTGATAATACAATAGCTGCGATGAGCCTCAAGGGTGAATATGTGCTGAATATTGAATGTGGGATATCATCTTTTTGTTTATTTGTTAGTTCAAGTCTGAAAGCAGGAAAGAAGTGTTGCACATATAGCCTGTGTATGTACACTCATTGGACACTTGATTAGGTAAACTTTGCTAATACTGGGTTGGAACCCCTTTTATTTTAGTAACTGCATAACTTAGCTCTTCATGGGAGAGATTGAGCAAGATGCTGGAGACAATCCTCACAGATGTTGGTCCATGTCTACCGTGATAGCATCACACACTTGCTGCAGATTCATCAGCAGCATATCCCGTTCCAATAAAATATCCCCCACACCCTTACGCCATCACCACTAGGGGTGACACTGGTTCAGGAGGTAGAGTAGAGATAAGAGAGATTTGATGTTGTTTACACAAAACTGTTTGCAGTCTTATATTTTGATGGGCTTGTGCAAATTGTAGCCTGTTTCTTGTTCTTAGCTGACAGGGGTGGCAGTTGGTGTGATGTTCTAGGTGCTCTTCTGCTACTGTAGCCCATTTGCTTCAAGGTTCAATGCGTTGGGCATTCAGAGATGCTCTTCTACCTTGCTTGTAACAAGTAGCTACTTTAGCGTAACTGTTGCTGTCCTATCAGCTAAAAGCAGTCTAGCTGTTCTCCTCCGATCTGTGGCATCAGCAAGGCATTTTCATCACTGGATATTTTCTCTTTATCAGACCATCCTCTGTAAACCCTAGAGATGGTTGTGTGGGAAAATCCCAGTAGATCAGAAGTTTCTGAAATACTCAGACCAGCCTGTCTGGCACAATCAACCATGTCATTAACAAGAATCTGTTATAATGTTGAACATTTTAACATGAGGATTAACTGTGGCCCATTAACTTCACATTGGCTTCATTTCTTGTTTGCACAGTTGGTCTTAAAATCAAATTTTCTTTTGTTCGGATGGTGCTTCAGGCCTTTGACTTTCTTTAAGCTCAACAACCATAGCAGAACAAAGACAGTGATATGTAATATAGGCCACACTGTAGAATACATATGATAGTAATTTAATAATTATGAGAAAAAGCCATTTGAGAAGTCTTCAGGATGTGAACTTTAAAACAAAAACTTTAAAACAAACACGCTGGTATAGCCACCATGCCTTATATACCATATGTAAAGGTGAACATTTTTTGGGCTCTAAAATAACATAAATTTATACCATAACATGAATTTTGATTAGATTTGATGTGGAGGAAAAAAGCTAAGTTATTATAAACTTGAGTGAAAACATAATAAGACTTACTTGAGAAAGAACTTTGACACAACACTTATATTGAATCCATAAGTCTTTCAAATGTTAAATCCAAAACTGTTACCTTGTAGAAAGTAAAACTTCCAAATCTGATACACCGCAAAATGATGGAGTTGATTTTAAGGAGTCAGCAAGCTGCGGAAGAACACAACAATAATTGATTGGCTCTAAGAGACCGGGGGCAACAGAGTGAGCTGCTCTGTGTCATCTTCCTGAATGAGATATGCATACAGATTTACAGTATATGTAACCTTCTCTGGAGTAA